TCAATTACATAAATATTATATCATTAATTATTTAATTAACTAAAAAAATTACATCTTTATTAATAACAAATTAATTCTTAAACAAAACTATTAAATATAAATTAGGCAAACGTGCATTGCACGTTACTTGCACCTAGTTTTATTGATAAATATGATTGAAAATAAGAATAAAAACGTATTTTGTAAATAACAAGGATAAACCGGGGCTATTGTGGTGCCAAATTCAGTGGTATTTGCTTCAAATTCCCAAATTAAAATTCATTAATGACAATTACAAATTTACAACTATACAAATGTTTTGTTTGACCTTCATTTTTAATGAGGTTTTTTTTTTTTTTTTGAAGAAAATATGTAAATGTTTTTGAATTTATGTGTAAAATATTTTATTATAGAATAATGTTATCTAGTATTAATGATTTTAGAGCATCAATCTAGATGTAAGTATGTAATAATTCATAATAAATGAGTTATAATTTGTATTAATTGAACATATAATTTAATGATATAAGTGATATCAAACACCACTTACGCTAATTAACATTTCTTTTTATTATATCTTCATTATATGATTGAGTGATTATTACAAATAAACTTGAGAAAAAAATAATTTTGATTTAATGAATTATCTCTCTCTATCGCCACCAAACTCTAACTGTAAGACGGTAAATCGGCCCAAAAAGGCCAAATGAAAAGGTGACAAATCCCAATTCTCAATCTCAAGCAAAGGTTACAAATCCCAAATCCCAGTTCTCTCTACCTATATCAGTATATATACACATTTGCACTGGTAATTTGTCTTTAGGGTTTTAGGGCTTTCATATTGGTTTTCGATTTCATCTTTGAAAAAAAGAAATGGACAGATACCACAAGGTTGAAAAGCCGAAACCGGAATTGCCGATTAACGAGAATGAGATCCGAATCACTTCTCAGGGTTTGGTCCGTAATTACATCAGCTATGCTACTAGTCTTCTTCAGGTTATACACTAACTAACTTTTTCTCATGGCTACTTTTCTGGTATTCCTTTTTTTTTTTTGTTTGTTTCTGATTCGGCGTGTTCGTGTTTTGTCGTTTGATTTTTATTTTTTTACTAACGCATTAAGACATTTATGGGTTTTAGTGGCGTTCTTGTGATATCGTGGTTTGAATTTGGGCGCTCTGATTTTCTTTTCTTGGTTTTACGGTTATCTTCTTGGAATGATTGTATGAGTTTCTTTATTTACATTTATTTTGCTTGTTTTAATTTCTTTAAATATATATATTTTTAATGTCTTTGTTCAATGATTGTGTTATATTTATGTTCATATCCAGTAAGTCCCACACGCATACACCCAGATGCCTTTATTTTTATGTGTGTGTGAGTTTATTTATTTGAAAATTTAGTCACACATGCACAATTATATACCCCTTTTTTATTACGTTGAATCTTTTGATGTTTATTTGGTCTATTTGTATTTGAGTTCGGTAAATATAGCGAATTTTACCCCTTAATATAATTAAGGGACTTGAGACAGATTGTCTCTGTTGTATATTTGTCTTCACCAGCTTTTTAATTTTGCTCTCAATTATTTTATCACTAGGGGCCAGGTAGAAGAATGAAAACTTGATTTGCTCATTTGTTTTTTCAACTTGTATTTCAGATGTCAGTAATGTAGCCTGAGACATAACAATGCCCTGTGGGTTGAAAAACATTTCTTGTTTTTCGATTTCCATTGTTTCTGTTTATATATTGGACATGCTTGCATCACCATTAGAGGATGATATGATTCTAATTTGATGTTATTATCCTGTAATATATAGTCATCCTGCAATCTGGACTCTGTTATTGTGGAAACCACAGTTATTCCCCATTGTGGATACATTTCATCCTGAACTGATCAGCATTTCTATGGAATGAAGAGTAGTGACCTAGTACAATTCAAAAGAAATGAGACGATGTCGTTGCATAACAATTTAGGAAATTCCAGAATAAAAGTAAGCACATATACTATTCAAAAGTCTTTTAAAAAAAATATCGTTACCTACCAAACATAGGCCAAGGTGCAGAAACTTTTTGCATTTGATAGTCTTTGTGGGGAATTATGAAGAATTAAATTTACGCTACCCAAACACATTGCTCACAAGAGGGAGTAATGTATTAATTACTAAACTGCAGAATTGATAATACAGAAATGAGTTTGGATCATGAAATCTTTGGCCAAGATATGATTTATGCAAATTGGGGCTCTGGTTAGTGATGCAAGCTTATCCAACATTTTTAAGTCTAAATTTGCTGAGTTTGAAATTGAATGGCATGTTTAGTTTTTGTTGATTGATTGAGACTTTATAAATGTTTTAGCGTCTAATCTTTTTTTCCTAATTTGGTGTATTTTTTTACTTTTATTTTTTTCTTTAGCCTGTCTTATGTGCATTCTTGTTGTTTCACCTGTTCACAGAATTGGGTCTCTGAACAAGTAAAACCTAAAAATTCCATGGGGTTTATGCCATGGTGTTTCTTGTTTAATGGGTTATGGGTAGTGCCACCATTGTGAATTCATCAAGTTATTATATGTATTTGGTTTCGCTGTCATCCAAATGTGCTAGCTAAGCATGTTATAATTCTTGATGGTTAGGAGGGAGATGGGAAGGAGATTGTCTTGAAAGCAATGGGTCAGGCGATAAGCAAGACAGTGGCTATTGCAGAGATCATCAGGGTACCTTCGTAAATGCCTTGTGTATATTTCTCTTTTTTATTTGTTTGGAATTTGGGCTGAACTCAGTCCTTTTGTTTTGAAACAGAGAAGAATCCCTAGATTGCATCAAGACATTGCCATCAGTTCGATGAGAATAACTGATACATTTGAACCCATTGAAGAGGGCCTTCAGACGTAAGTATCAACTCTTCTGTACTTTGTTTGTGCTCCTTTATTATTTTAATGTGCACACAGCTTTATGTACTAAGTGGTGTTTCATTTTTTTTGATCGTCAAATAAATGCATTTTTCGAGTAGAAGATATACTTCTGAGTCTTTCATACTGATTTTAATGCCTAATTCAGAGTGGAGCAGACTCGTCATGTGTCATTGATTTCCATCACCTTGTCAGCTAAGGAGCTCAACAAGAATTCTCCTGGGTAATTTTCAAAATTTTTGAATCTCCAGTAGCTTTTTATTTATTTATTTATTTTATGGATGGTTAAGAGGAAAAGAGGTAGGTAAGGAGGTAGATATAATAAATACACATGCTCTAATATCTCTATTGATTTCAAAAATGTTTCTTTGATGAGGTAGTTTGGAAAAATTTATGTTTGAGAGCCTACAAGTTTTTCCCAACTGGTTGCATATCTTGAACTGTTTCGCAACAGGCATATTCTTGTTCCTTTGTCCATTTTCATAAGTTTGGCTGTTTTTGGTTGGAGGTGTCTACTGCATCTTTTTGCACGTGCACATTTTTTGACTTTAACATGATATTTTCTGAGCATATTTCTTTTTATACCATAGGTACCAAGCTCCATCTTCTGTGGACCAAGCTCAACAAAAATATAACTATCATCCACAGCATCTGCGACCATCACCTAGACAAGTGCGTGCAGTATACAATGCTGGTAACGAAGGTAATATGAAGAAAATGAATTGAAATGGTGCCCCACTATTGAATTATTACATACTTGATATTAATGAAATTTGATATTTAGATTCATATGGGAGAGGAAGAGCTCGTGGCAGAGGTAGGGGACGGGGTTGGAGCAGAGGTGGATATGCAAGCTATCAAGGTACTCATTCATAGAATCTATTTTTTCCTATGATGTGGACCATCTTATCAGGCGTTGCATCAAGGGATCTTCTGACTCCCACAACATCTTTCAACCTGGCAGAAAATGGTGGATATTCAAACTCGGGCCGAGGTGGCAGGCGTGGTGGTGGTAATTGGGGTTACCGTGGTTAGTGTCAAACAAACTGTTTTCTGTTAATGTCTGGAATTCCAGGAAACATGTCAAATTTGAACTTGTTCTGGAATTGTTCATGATGAGAAATGTCATCTTTTTGTTTACTGGCAGGCACTGGATATGGAAGAGGCAGAGGTGGAGGTGGCAGAGGCTATGGCCGTGGTCGGGGAAGTGGAAGGATGGGCAACAACTATGCAAGGGGTGATGGCAACCAGACAGTTTCAGAATAGTTCTTGTATGGTCTACCTAAACCTTGCATTGGCTTCATGGTTTACCTTACCTGATTTGTGTTGTGGCTAATATAACCTTGGGTCGTTTATGTAGTTCATTTGCTCGACTTTTATCTCGTTGATATTGGTCAAGCAATATTGCTTTTTATTTTATGCCAAAGAGCAAGTATAGCCAGGTTGAGTCTTCCATAATTCTTTGATTCGTGTTGCTAAAATTTGTTTTTCCGGTTTCAAAATACTAGTTAAGTTTCAATGTCTATGCGAATATCTCTTCATATCTGCCCGTGTTTGTGTTTGTCGTGTGGGTGTTCATCTCTTGTGGTGCTTTAGGAGTGTTTCCTACTACTATTAAGGAATTCAAAAATAAATAAATTGTTAACCTCTCAATTATTTTATATAATTATAGAAATTTACATGTATTCACAAGAATTGACCGTTTTACTTCTATTGACTAAGATAGAAAGCGTTAAAAGGTAAATAAGTACATTTTTGTAATAGTTTATAATTTATTTTTAAAGTGTTATCTTGCATAAGTGGTGTTAGAATATCAGATTATGTGATATTATGTAATGTGTTCAATTAAATGTTAAATTATGTAATT